CTCCTGGTTCAAGAACACAGATCAAGCTGTAGAAATCCTACACCAGAGTTAACCCTGGATCAGCAACCCAGCAGAACAACACAACAGTGTGCCACACTTGCCTCAATGGCTCATTTCAGCATTGCTTTTAACAATCACGCTATATAATTATACTGAAAGAAATTACTCCTGCATGAATGTCAATGTACTCCTTTGCTCAAAACAAGCATGCAGTTCTGTCAAGATAGCTTTCTATCCAAACAGTGTGCCAAAGAGTCACAAACTTCCCTTAAAAGTGGGGTTTTCAGAATGGTGTTCTCTCTTTTGTGTCTCTTTTCCACATCAAGTTTCCAGAATTAAGCCTCTGATGATGCAACCAGAATTTGCATCCTGTACAAAGGTTTTTGGGTCAGGTCAAAAACAGGAAATTGTCTTATACCAAGGCAAACCATTGCTGTGTGTATCTTGCCAATGTTTAAACTACGAGGGACGTTCATTAAAGATTTCCCCTGACCCACTTTCTGTAGACTGAGAGCAATGAAACTTGGCACAGTTAGGAGTCCTTCTCTCCATCGGTGCCACCTAGGACACACACTTCTCCCATCTTTTTAAGCAACTGTAAACACCTCGCTTGTAGTAGTCGACAGGTTGATCAAAAAGCCATGTTGTGACTTTGTAAATCGGAGTCTCATCATCTGAAAAATGCTTCAAAAATAACTTCATTGTTGGAACAAAGTGGAAGTTCAATGGTGTGAGGTCGGGTGAATCAGGAGGATGCGGTAGAATTTCAAAGCCACAGGAGCATACTTCCATTTGTGCAACATGTGAGTAGTGAACTGGTGCATTGTCTTGCAGAAGGTGGACACCTTTGATGAGCATGCCATGTCTCTTGGTTTTGATGGCCTCCTACAATTTACATAGCAGTGAAGCATATTACATTCCGCCCCAGTGACCATGGTCCCCTTTGCTAGGAAATCCATCAAGGTTCCTCCATGCTGGTCCCAAAATACTGTGAGCATGATCTTACCTGCCGAGAGTTGGGCACATGCCTCCTTTGGAGGCAGTGAGTCATAATGCTTCCATTGCATCAACTGGACTTGAGTCTCAGAATCATAGTGTGGGACACAGCTTTCATCCTGTGTGATCAGTCTGTTGAAAAAGTCCTCCTGGTTTCCATGGCCCATCACCATCAGTAGAGCCTGAAAGCATTCAACTCGTTCCTGCTTCTGGAAAGGTGTGAGCAGCTGGGGACCCAGCGAGCAGATACCTTATGCATGTGAAGATGGTCTTGGATTATTTTTTCCATGGACCCCCACACTAATCTTGACATTTTGGGCTAGGTGGTGAATGCTTATGCAGCGATTTTCCAAAATGGCAACCTCCACTTGCTAGATGTTGTGTTCATCAATAGCAGAGTGGGGTTGTCCTGGAATTGGAGCTGTTTGCTCCGAAGTCCAACCACATTTGAATTGACGATGCCAGTTCTTGACTCCATCATATGATGGGGAATCATCCCCATAAGCCTCTTTCATCTCATTGAATATCTCCTTTGTTGTGCGGCCTTTCAAGAAAAAGGAACTTGAGGACTGCTCTGTATTCCACTGGGTCCATTCTCAAATCTCACACCACTTCTGCACCTATAAAATCAAGACCGTTGTTAGTTCTGAGTTGTAAATTGGTACGTAACCTATACTTACTTAGGCGAGCCCTCGTTTTCCGAGGATGATTGTCTTCCAGTGTTCTTGTGGGTCCGTATGTGGCTGTGGAGCCCTATTCTTGCTCTGCATCTTCTTCCGCAGTGAGGGCATTGGTTTCCAGGTGGAAGGCGGTCTCGGTCGGGGTTGGCTTGATGCGCCTTCCTCTTGGCACTCTCCCTTTCATCCTCCATTCATGCCTCTTCAAATTCTGCAGCACTGCTGGTCACAGCTGACCTCCAGCTGGAGGCTCAAGGGACAGGGCTTCCCAGTTCTCAGTGTCTATGCCAGAGTTTTTAAGGTTGGCTTTGAGCCCATCTTTAAATCTCTTTTCCTGTCCACCAACATTCCGTTTTCCGTTCTTGAGTTCAGAGTAGAGCAACTGCTTTGGGAGACGGTGGTCGGGCATCCGGACAACATGGCCAGTCCAGCGGAGTTGATGGCGGAGGACCATCGCTTCAATGCTGGTGATCTTTGCTTCTTCCAGCACACTGACGTTTGTCCACCTGTCTTCCCAAGAGATTTGCAGGATTTTCTGGAGGCAGCGGTGATGGAATCGTTCCAAGAGTTGCATGTGACGTCTGTAGACAGTCCACGTCTCACAGGCATAGAGCAGGGTTGGGAGGACAATAACTCTATAAACAAGAACCTTGGTATCCCTACGGATGTCCCGGTCCTCAAACACTCTCTGCTTCATTCGGAAAAATGCTGCGCTCGCAGAGCTCAATGTAACCTATAGAGACTTATATCATTACACATGTGCAGTTTTAGCATCCTGTGATAAATAGAAGTGGGTCAGGGGAAATCTTTATTGAATACCCCTCATCACACAGAAGAACTTGCAGCTCTCCTGATGTTTGTGGGCTCTGTCTCCCATCAACAACAGTAAGCACCAGCAGTGGCCAGGGACAACAGGAATTGCAGTCCAATATCTGGAAGCTCACCACTGCCCCACTCTTGGTCAACAATAGCCTTCAGGTGGTGCCAGGAGTTGAACCTGGGAGCTTCTGAATGTAATGTACTCTGCTATTGAACTCCATCTCTTTCACAACACACACTTTACATGGAATGCTACAACCAGTACCAAACTAACCATGTGCCATCTAATATACCACACGTTGAGCAGCAATATTCTCAAGACACCCACCTTGTTTAAGTTAAGCAGGTTTGCATCTGGCCAGTGCCTGCATAGGAGGCCAGTCAAGCATCTTGCTACACTGAATTCTATAAAGCAAAGCAGTCCAATAGAGATGGCTGGACAGCATCTTGCATGCCTCACAACGAACACACTCCCTCTTTAGTCCCATATTGCAGAGAGAAACTGGTACAAATGAACAAGAGTGGGAAATCCTCTTGAAAGACAGCTAATTGCAAGCTCTATTGAGAGAGAAAGCAAGCGCTTGCCTGTTCAGCTGAAGTCATTTCAGAAAATCAGCAGATGATACCTATCCCCCATCATGGTTCATATTACTCACACCTTGTCAAGTTATTTTGGCATTAAGGCTGAAAATATAAGCACCTTCCCTAGTAGTAAAAACAAAATGTTTGTTCCTCTTCTATAAAACTCAAAATCAAGGGTAAGGGCAACTCACATTGCCTAATGTCATGGCAAACGTTGCTTGCAGTAATTTATTTTCCTTCTATAATCTTGAATGCATCGGTGACCAATAGGTTGGTATGGCTCTCTGTATTACTATGGGGCTGTAGTGAGAGCGGAGGAGGTTAAGGGTTCTACCCCCCCCCCAAAAAAAGATTCTAACCACCCCCCCCAAAAAAAAACCTGGTTTAGTCAAGAATTTAAACTGGTTAACCAAGTTATGAGTAAACCAGGTTTCTTTTTTAACCTGACACATTTCAGGGCAGGGTTAAAACTCTGGCTACAGCCCTGCAGGGGTTCTCGATTTTCCTAATGCCATGACCCTTTAGTACAGTTCCTCAAGTTGTGATGACACCCAACCATAAAATTATTTTTGTTGCTACTTCACAACTGTAATTTTGCAACTGTTATGAATTGTAATGTATCTGATATGCAAGATGTATTTTCATTCACATTTGGCACAAATATTTATTTATTTATTTACTGAATTTGTATATGGTTCTGGCCCAATTTACCTGTCCGAACATATCTCCCTTACGAACCACTGAGGACTTTAAGATCATCTGGGGAGGCCCTGCTCTCGGTCCCGCCTCCATCAAAAGCACATTTGGTGGGGACGAGAGACAGGGCCTTCTCAGTGGTGGCCCCTTGGCTATGGAACGCCCTCCCTAGGGAGATCAGATTTGCTCCCTGCCTCTTGATGTTTCGGAGGCAAGTTAAAACGTGGCTATTTGAGCAAGCGTTTACAAATACAGAGTAGCTAATATAGGAAATCGAATGACCTGACAATGGAATTGGACAATGCTTGAGAATAATGAGACGCTGATGGTGTTGTTTTTATTGCTTTTGTGGTGTCTTATACTGTTTAATGTTTTTTATCTGTATTATGTTTTATGTATACTGATTTGTTGGAAACCGCCTTGAGTCGCCAATTGGCTGAGAAAGGCGGTATACAAATACAGTAAATAAATAAATAAAATAAATATACCGCCCTTCGCAATACGCCCAAATTTGAATACTGGTAGGGTTGGGGGGAGGGATTGATTTTGTCATTTGGGAGTTGAAGGTATTGGGATTTATAGTTCACCTACAATCAAAGAGAATGCTGAACTCCACCAACAATGGCATTGAACCAAATTTGGCACACGGAACTCCCATGACCAACAGAAAATATTGAAAGGGTTTGGTGGGCACTGACCTTGAGTTTTGGAGTTGTAGTTCACCTACATCTAGAGAACACCGTGGATTCAAACAATGATGGATCTGGATCAAACTTAGCACAAATACACAATACGTCTAAATGTGAAGTTTGGGGAAAATAGACCTTGATATTTGGGAGTTGTAGTTGCTGGGATTTATAGTTCACCCACAATCAAAAAGCATTCTGAACCCCAGCAACAATAGAATTGGACCAAACTTCCCACACAGAACCCCCATGACCAACAGAAAATACTGTGTTTTCTGATGGTCTTTGGGACTCCTCACACCCCTTGCAACCCCCCAGGTTGAGAAACACGGCACCATGCAAATTAACACTATATCATATGGTGCGTAAGTCCCGCTGAATTAAACATATCTTACCTTTAGATAGATGTGTTTGGAAATTTCCTGTAAAGAACTCAGAGCTTGACCCCAGTGTATTGACTTGCAAATGTGTTGTGTTCCAAACCGGGAAACAAACAAACAAACAAAAATTGTACTCCCCGTCCCCAGTTTGTGAAATCAGAATATTTTTTATTCATTGTAAAAATAAGCTACTGTACAAACGCTGTTTCCTGATAACAAGAAGAATGTCGGAGATAGGCTCCCTCTCTGCAGATAAGGCAATGGACACAGAAGGTCCCATTATGCCCATATCCAGGGTATGAGACTAACATCCTTCCTTAGTCCAACACAGTCTTTAAATGTTGTCGTATCAGCTGAGCATCCATATATTCCCTCAGTCTCAGACGCACATATTATTGGAGAGAAGCAGATGTCTGATGAGCAGCTTGGCTATGGATTGCAATCCAAGAGGGTTTGGGATTTCCTTTATACCCAAAGCATCATAATAAGTATGGTAATATTGCCTGGGATGAGGAAAGAGAGAGAGAGAGAGAGAGAGAGATGGTGAGAGGGAGAGATAAATATGATTACTATTGTAAAGTTGAGCAAATAATCTATCATCACTTATTACTCTGGACCGTGCCCTGACCTACATGAAGCACTGCCTGAACATCAAGCAAAAAGTGGGCGCTAGAAGCAATATCATATGAAAGCTGACTGGCACAACCTGGGGATCACAACCAGACACAGTGAAGACATCTGCCCTTGCGCTGTGCTACTCTGCTGCTGAGTATGCATGCCCAGTGTGGAACACATCTCACCACACTAAAACAGTGGATGTGGCTCTTAATGAGACATGCCGCATTATCACAGGGTGTCTGCGCCCTACACCACTGGAGAAATTACACTGCTTAGCCGGTATTGCACCACCTGACATCCGCCGGGAAGTGGCAGCTAATAGTGAAAGGACCAAGGCAGAGACATCTCCAGCTCATCCCTTGTTTGGGTATCAGCCAACAGGTCAACGACTTAAATCAAGAAATAGTTTTCTTAGATCTACAGAGACACTCGCTGGAACACTCCAGCAAGCGAGAGTCCAAAAGTGGCAGGCTCAAACCCAGCACCTCAATCCGTGGGTGATACCAGATGAGAGACTCCCCCCTCGGCACACAGAAAACTGGGCGACTTGGAAGGCACTGAACAGGCTGCGCTCTGGCACCACGAGATGCAGAACCAACTTCAAGAAATGGGGCCACAAAGTGGAATCCACGACATGTGAGTGTGGAGAAGAGCAAACCACTGACCACCTGCTGCAATGCAACCTGAGCCCTGCCACATGCACAATGGAGGACCTTCTTGCGGCAACACCAGAGGCACTCCAAGTGGCCAGATACTGGTCAAAGGACATTTAATCAACTACCAAGTTTGCAAAATCTGTGTTTTTTTTATCTGTTTGTTTGTTTTGTTCTGTTAGAAATGTAATACAATGGTATGGTTGCTGATGACACGATAAATAAAATAAATAAATAAAATAAGGCGGGGGGGGGCGAGGAAAGGGAGGCTGTTATGAATTGTGGGAGTTGAAGTCCAAAACACCTGGAGGGAGGGCCCAAGTTTGCTCAGGCCTGATGCATAGGTTAACCAACCTCTCCAAGTTGCCTTCTGACTGATGGCAATCCTGTGAATTCGATAAGGTTTACTTAGGCAAGGAATATTCAGAGGTCGTTTTGCCCATTCCTTCTTCCAAAATATAGTTCACAACACCTGGAAATGCACTGGTGGTTTGCATCTAAGTACTAACCAGGACTTAATGGTGAAACTTTAGAAAATGTTGACCATTTCCATTACCTTGGCAGCAGAGGCGGCCCTAGGTAATTTTCAATGGTAAGCAAACAGTATTTTGCCCCCCCCCCCCCCCAACCAATCACTGATATATATTTTCTGTTCGTCGTGGGAGTTCTGTGTGCCATATTTGGTTCAATTCCATCATTGGTGGAGTTCAGAATGCTCTTTGATTGTAGGTGAACTATACATCCCAGTAACTACAACTCGCATATGTCAAGGTCTATTTTCCCCCAAGAGCGCCTCAAGAGCGCCCCTGGGCAAAATCAACTCCACTGCAAATGCTTACTTTGCGTAATGGGTTAAGCTGCCCCTGCTTGGCAGCCACCTCTCCACAAAAGTCAACATTAACACTGAAATACAACACTGCCTGAGCTCTGCGAGTGCAGCTTTTTTCCAAATGAAGCAGAGTGTGTTTGAGGGCCAGGGCATCCGTAGGGATACCAAGGTGCTTGTTTATAAAGCTATTGTCCTCCCAACCCTGCTATATGCCTGAGAAGTGGACTGTCTACAGACGTCACATGCAACTCCTGGAACGATTCCATCAGCGCTGCCTCTGGAAAATCCTGCAAATCTCTTGGGAAGACAAGCGGACAAATGTCAGCATGCTGGAAGAAGCAAAGACCACCAGCATTGAAGCGATGGTCCTCCGCCATCAATTCTGCTGGACCAGCCACGTTGTCCGGATGCCCCTGGTGGCGCAGTGGGTTAAACCCCTGTGCCGGCAGGACTGAAGACTGACAGGTCGCAGGTTCAAATCCGGGAGAGGTGGATGAGCTCCCTCTATCAGCTCCAGCTCCTCATGCGGGGACATGAGAGAAGCCTCCCACAAGGATGAGAAAACATCAAAAACATCCAGACGTCCCTTGGGCAATGTCCTTGCAGACGGCCAATTCTCTCACACCAGAAGCGACTTGCAGTTTCTCAGGTCGCTCCTAACACGACAAAAAACAAAATCTCCCAAAGTAGTTGCTCTACTTCGAACTCAAAAATGGAAAACTGAATGTTGGTGGGAAGGAAAAGGGATCTAAAGATGGGCTCAAAGCCAACCTTAAAAACTCTGGCATAGACATTGAGAACTGGGAAGCCCTGGTCCTTGAGCGCTCCAATTGGAGGTCAGCTGTGACCAGCAGTGCTGTAGAATTTGAAGAGGCACGGATGGAGGGTGAAAGAGAGAAACGTGCCAAAAGGAAGGTGCATCAAGCCAACCCCGACCAAGACCACCTTCCACCTGGAAACAGATGCCCTCACTGTGGAAGAACATGCAGGTCAAGAATATGTTCACTGCATGTTCACTGCGGAAGAACATGCAGGTCAAGGACTCCACAGCCACCTACGGACCCACTACCAGTACACTGATGTTGGAAGACTATCCTACTCAGACAATGAGGGATCACCTAAGTAAGTAAGTAACTAACCAGGGCTGACCTTGCTTAGGTTCTGAGATCAGACAGATCTGGAGCCTTTAGGGAGAGAGCAGGAAGAAAAGTAGACTTTGTAATTAGGTTCTTGTGGGGTTTTTTGGGCTATAGGGCCATGTTCTAGAGGCATTTCTCCTGACGTCTCTGCCTCACTACCTCTGAGGTTGCTTGCCATAGATGCAGGCGAAACGTCAGGAGAAATGCCTCTAGAACATGGCCATATAGCCCGAAAAACCCCACAAGAACCTAGTGATTCCAGCCATGAAAGCCTTCGACAAGACTTTGTAATTATCCTGCAAACATGTCCTCTCCATATCCTGCTACAACCACCTCCCAAGTAGAATGCAATGGTCCCTCCCTCCCAAAAAGCTATGTAATTAAAGAAAGTAAGGGCAAATACCACTTGCTCAGAAACTGCCAGGGGATTAATTAGCCCAGCTGTGATGATCCAGTTAGGAATGCGTGCCCCTCACTCTTTGGGAAAATATTCAAAGAATAGGGGTGAATGTGATCATCCCTTCAGACTCTGTCCCAGTCATGAATGACATGGTGGTATTAAACACCACTGCCAAATAATCAGCGCCTCTTAATTCCAATTTTTAAAAATGTTGTAAAGCGATGCTTTCGGGTTGGAAAGATTAGCCGTTTACAAGAAACATTGCCCAGGGGACACCTGACTGTATTTACTCAGTCTTCGAGGAGGCTGTTTCCAGGTCCATGTCTATACAAAGATAACCACCTAGGTTTCTCAGCTGTTAGACTGATGTACCAAGGTATGTCTCAACTGTCAGGGACAAAGATATGCCAACGCACAAAACACACATATCTATATATATAAAAATGCTCTGTGCATAATGAGTACCCTAAAAACAACAGAATCAATGAATGAAATCACACCAAATTTGGCAACATAAGTCTCACAACACAAGGAGTGTCCATCACTCAAAAAATTATGATTTTGTCATTTGGGAGTTGTAGTTGCTGGGATTTATAGTTCACCTATAATCAAAGAGCATTCTGGACTTACATGAGCCCGAGCCCAAACACAACAATACAAGCAATAATCACAACAATACAAGCAATTAAAATAAGAACATAGACAACATTATGCAACATTATCAATAAGACAACATACACTTAAAATTGTGGGAAGGCCAAATGTAAAATTAAAATTTGGAAATAACGCTGATGCATGGATGAAAAGGTGATAGTGGCGTTTGTGGAAGGACATACGAGCAGACCTAAAAGTGTAAAGTGCTTTGGAAGACAAAGTGCTATGGGATCATTATTCTGGGAAGGCACATTGGAACAGCCACGTCTTCAAGCTCCTCTTGAAGACTGCCAAAGTTGGGGCCTGTCTGATGTCTTTAGGGAGTGCGTTCCAGAGTTGAGGGGCCACCACTGAAAAGGCCCTCTCTCTCGTCCACACCAATCGCGCTTGCGATACAGGTGGGAGTGTGAGCAGGGCCTCTTCAGATGATCGAAGAGATTATGTGGGTTAGTATACAGAGATGCGGTCACACAGGTAGGCGGGTCCCAAACCGTTCAGGGCTTTGTAGGTAAGAACCTGCACCTTGAATTGGATCCGGTAGATGAATGGCAGCCAGTGGAGCTCCTTGAACAGGAGGGTTGACCGCTCCCTGTAAGGAGCTCCAGTTAACAACCTGGCTGGCGCCCGTTGGATCATCTGAAATTTCCGAGCCGTTTTCAAGGGCAGCCCCTCCATTCTAAAATGGAGTCTCCAAAGAAGGAGGCTCCTTCTTTGGAAGCTTTTAAGCAGAGGCTGGATGGCCATCTGTCAGGGGTGATTTGAATGCAATATTCCTGCTTCTTGGCAGAATGGGGGGTTGGACTGGATGGCCCATGAGGTCTCTTCCAACTCTTTGATTCTATGATTCTATGATTCTATGAGTGAGTGTAAGATATATGGCATACCAGAAACAAATAAAGCTTTGGATATAAAGGTTTTCTGGTCACTTACTATGAGCCCAATACAAAGAAGTGTTGGTCACACCACACAAAAAACTCCTCCCCTCCAAAAAAAAAAAAAATTCCAGAAGAACACTGACTACTTGTAACTGAATCGATATGTAAAGTACCTGCATGAGCACCAACCCCCAGTGTCGGACATACAGGACTTAATATCAGGGGGAAACCTTTACCTTTACCTATGGCAGTGTAGAAGGGGCCAGAGAGAAAATCCTTACTGGGAAAGGACTGGAAACTTGCTGTGGAAATTTTTATCAAGGACTCTGTGCCCA